TTTTTGAGACGGAGTCTCACTTTGTTGCTCAGGCTGGAGTGCAGTGATGCGATCTTGGCTCACTGCAACCTCCACCTCCCTGGTTCCAGCGATTTTCCTGACTCAGCCTCCCAAAGTGCTGGGATTACAGGCGTGAGCCACCACACCTGGCTGATTTTTGTATTTTTAGTAGAGTTGGGGTTTTATCATGTTGGCCAGGCTGGTCTCGAACTCCTGACCTCAAGTGATCCACCCACTTCAGCCTCCCAAAGTGCTGGGCTTTCAGGTGTGAGCCACTGCACCCAGCCTCTTGCAGCAGTCTTGACTGATTTCCCTGTCTCTGTTTCTGTCCTTCTGCCTCTATTCCAGTTGATTTTCCAAACTGCTTATAGAATCTCTTTCCTAAAATGCACCCCTGACCCTGTGACTTCCTTCCATAAGGTCCTTCCTGACAACCTGTTCTCCACAGGGTGTCCCCCCAACCCAACACTGTGGGCCGTTTTTATCTCCTGGCCCTGCTGTGTTCAGCTCCATCTCGCCCTCCTCCAGTCCCCTTCCCAGCTGCCACCACCACCTTCTAGTCTAACTTACCCAATTCTGTTCCTCAAAAACTGTGAAATTCTTCAGTTTCTTTGAGCCCTTTCCATACATGAGCAGTCTCAGAGTATAGAACCTGTCGTGTTTTTTAAGCTTTTCAGCCCAGAATCCTTTTTCACCCAGTCCTTCGTCCAGACTGAGTCCCAAGACCCACTTTGGGAAGGTTCAAGTGCCAGAGCAGCCTGCCTGCCAGTCTCCAAGCCTCCACTTCCTCTTACCTCGGACATCCCTGTGTAGTCCCCATGTCTGCGTGGTGGACTCCTTGTCCTTGAGTTCACTTTGTCCCCCGGGGTACCTTCCCTGTTGGGCCTCTTTAGACAGAGTCTGGGGCTTCCTCTGCCGTCCTCCCCGCGTGCTGATGTTTATCTCACAGTGAAAATGGTTTGCTTATGCAGCTCCTTGGTCTGTTGGACTTCCCCGTCCCTAGCCCAGAGCCCAGCATCCACAGCAGGGAGTGAGTGAGGAGCCCACGGCTGACCAAGTGAGGTCTGCCCACCTCTCCTGACTGCCCCTTCTGGATTTCCAGGCGAGGACGAGGAAAGCGATTCGTCCTCCAAATGTTCTCTGTATGCTGACTCAGATGGCGAAAATGACAGCACATCGGACTCCGAGAGCAGCAGCTCTTCCAGCTCCTCATCCTCCTCCTCCTCATCGTCCTCGTCCTCCTCGTCCTCTTCATCCTCTGAGTCCTCCTCTGAAGATGAAGAGGAAGAGGAGCGGCCAGCAGCCCTTTCCTCAGCCTCCCCGCCCCCCAGGGAAGTCCCAGTGCCCACACCAGCACCTGTGGAGGTGCCAGCGCCAGAGAGGGTTGCAGGCTCCCCAGTCACACCCCTGCCTGAACAGGAGACATCTCCAGCAAGGCCTCCAGGTAGGTGCCACGGGGGTGTCGGTTGGATCTCTGTGTGTGTGTGTGTGAGAGAGAGAGAGAGAAAACAGTGGTGCCTGCATTTATTGTGTACTTCTAATAGTGTGACTTTATTAGAAAAACATACAAAGAAAATGTCACCATCTCTTGTCATTCCCTTCTGGAGACATTGATTGTCTGACACACTCAAACTGCACTGTCATGGTGGTTTACAGAACCCCAGGCTAAGCTGGCTACTAAAGTAAAATGGGTTGGTCTCCTCTCAAGTAAATTAAGGAGAAAGTGCCCAGTTGAGTAAGTTCTTCCTCCTAATTTGTCTTAAGCCTGTTCTTCAGTGAGTAGTGATTAAGTGCAGGTGATTAAATGGGCAAATAGGTAGAAAACAAGTATGAACATTAACACAGAACTTGGTTCTAGCTGCTTTCCTTTGTGGATTTGTTGTTATACTCTAGCACATTCGCATAGCTTAGCCTGCTGCGGGAACCACTCTTTCAAGCAATAGGTATTTATTGAGTGCTCATTGCAGCCAAACAGTAGGTGCAGGGGATGGGATGTTGAGCCTTGCAGACAGCATTCTCACTCATCAAGCTTACAGTCTATAGGGAAAGACATCTTCATTGAGTAAGAAATACATAGGAGGCTGGGCATGGTGGCTCACGCCTGTAATCTCAGCACTTTGGGAGGCCGAGACAGGCGGATCATGAGGTCAGGAGATCGAGACCATCCTGGCTAACATGGTGAAACCCTGTCTCTATTAAAAAATACAAAAAAATTAGCCGGGTGTGATGGTGGGCGCCTGTAGTCCCAGCTACTTGGGAGGCTGAGGCAGGAGAATGGCGTGAAACTGGGAGGCGGAGCTTGCAGTGAGCTGAGATCGCTCCACTGCACTCCAGCCTGGGCAGCAGAGCGAGACTTTGTCTCAAAAAAGAGAAAGAAAAGACCAGCCTGGGCAACATGGTGAAACCCTGTCTCTACAAAAATTAGCCAGGCATGGTGGCACACGCCTGTGATCCCAGCTGCTTGGGAGGCTGAGGTGGGAGGATCGCTTGAGCCCAGGAGGCAGAGGTTGTAGTGAGCCAAGATCACACACCACTGCACTCCAGCCTGGGTGGCAGAGCGAGACCCTGTCTCAAAAAAAGAAAAAGAATACCTAGGAAAACCTGTGGTTACAAACCATGAGAAGCACCAGGAAGAAGTGCAGGGCAGCCAGCCGGAGCACACCTGCAGAAGGAGGAGGGCTTCCTGCTGAGGTACTGCTGAGCTGAAGTCTGGGCAAAGCAGGCAGAACAGCTGGCTTAGCATGTGCCAAGGCCCTCCGGCAGGGGAAGCAGCGGGTTCAAAGACCTGGGGAAGAAAGCCGACCCTCCAGAGGGTTGAGCACAAGGGGGTGGTGGGGTGGCTGAAACTGGAGAGGTGAGGGGTTGGGCCCAGCAGATGTATAGGCCAGCCATTGTCAGGAATTTGGCCTTTATTTTGAAGTAGAAACCCATCAGAGTAATGACGTGGTCATATGTGTGTTTCAAAAAAATGTAGTGCAGAGAGAAAGCTTGGAAAGGGGCCACAGTGGAAGTAGGGCGCCTCTTAAGTGGCTATTGTAGAATGCAAGGCGAATTGTGGTAGCTTGGACTTAGGTAGATTGGACAAGGATGGATCAAATAAGTCAGTGTTCAAGATGTGCTATGGGCCGGGTGCGGTGGCTCAA